TCTTCTAGGAGCTGTAGAGAAAAAAAAAATTATTTACGAGAGAGAGAGGGAGAGAAAGACTTTCATGTGCAAATCGTCATCTTCTATGTATGATCATCTTCAGGCAGTTGCAGGGAACAAAAAACATTTATGAGAGAGAGGAGAGAGAGAGAGAGAGAGAGAGAGAGAGCAATGAAATATTTATTCATTCAAAAATGCATGACCTCTTCTTTAGCTTTCAAGGTCGTTTTAAGACATGACATGAAAAAGTTGCAACTTTCAAGAACAAAAACAAAAATAAAATGTGAATGTAATATCAGTATTTTTTAACAAATAATTTCTTTTAGGCAAACAACTATGTACTTATTTTGACACCAAAATAAAAGTCTTCTTCGAAAAGGTAAAATTTTCTTTTAAAGGTGAAAGAAAAATGGATTATCGAAAACTACTTGAAAGTAAATTTACTCTTAAAGAGTAGTTTTTTATCTCAAAAGTAATTTATTGAAATATGTTCTTAATGTGGAAAAAACTTAAAAATATCTTTACTTTTTAAAAACTATTTTTTTAATTAAAAATAACTTAATCAGAGACGTTCGTAAACAAAAAAAATGGAAAAATAAAAATGAGTTTGATGATAAGTGTGTTTCATTCTAAAGAAAATATAAAACTCAAAATGAACTCAGTTTTGTGTAAATTTTCAAAACTCTTGATTTTCACCATTTCTTCAATTCACTTATCGAAATTTCCTACCAACAAATACTAACATGAACTTGAGCACGATGATTTATACACTGAAATAAGAAGTCATTACATATTCAGTTTTAAAATTCTATACTCGGGTTCAGCTTATAATTGAGATGAAAATTTAAGTCAAAATCAATAATTATTTATAGTACACACATTTCATGGAATTCACAACTTTTTAATTACGTATTTCATCAATTTTTTTTAACAAGATTTACTAAAAAATTAAGTTTTATCTAAACCAAACAGTGGCTCTATTCATCAATTATTATATTCTTATTGTTTTGACTAAAGCTCCTTTAGCGTACACAATTGATACCATTATTCTGCTATTTAAGCTACGAAAGAAGCTCGCGAGAGGACGCATGATAGTACTAGTCAACCTTTGGTTAGAGATTGACGATTGAATGAGTGTGCTTTGAAAGTTTGTGATCGAGTATTCTATGACATATTCATTTTATTATTGCGTCTTATTCATAAGCGAGTGTTTGGGATTAACAACGAAGCATTTGTAAGTACAAGGCCGCTTACCTTGAAATATCACCTCTAACAGTTTGGCCGTTATTGAAAATAAGCTTAAAATTTCTCATTTTGCCACAATGATTTTCAAAATTATTTCTCCATTAAGAATTTGTTTTGTTAAAAATAATAAACTTTAAGCACTATCAGCCCACGTGTGTGGGCCCTTTACCCGGTATGGTTCACGGGCTCGAGTTGGTTGTAGTACCATGCACTTGCCACGTGTCGGATCGAGTCATCTTCCTTTCATAGTGGGACATAGGAGAATTTTATTAAACATAATAATTTTATATTAATTAATTACATAACATTGTAGTCAGCTTCAAATATGAGAATAATGTGGATAATCAACAGGTTTAGCTAAGCCTAAAACTAACGATTTAACTTGCAAGAAAAAAGTAAGATTTAAAATAAGTTAACTATTTAATAACAAGCTTAATAGACTTATTTAATAATGAGCTCGATCATTTAGCTAACACCTAATACAAATAATCACTTATTTGTTCCTTATCGTTTAATTTTGTGATTGACATTCAGATATGGATGATATTACATTGATTTTTGTTGATTACGTCGATGAGTCTGTAAGTATTTTGATTAAGGAAAATGGAGTGATGATAATGAAAAAGTTGCGGAATGACTTTTTGCATCTCAAAATATTTCATATACAAAATTGGATCGTGATGTACGAGATCTCCTTTTATGTTGATTACTCTTAACATGAGATCGAGTTAAGATTTCTTTTCCTGTAGAATACATAGATTTTAGTTCCACCAGTCAATATTACTTCAAATAAACAGGTGCATTGGCTTCTAGAGATCAACAAAAAAGGTCATTATCCCCTTTGTGTAACCTTTGCTAGCAAGATTCCCATGAGCATGAACACAAAGTAGTAGATGATCGAGTTGAATTTCAAGTTGATGCCCACAATGAAGAAGATTGTGAGATGCAAAGAGAAGTAAGTAATTGTGAAAGGACAATGAATAATGATAAAACTGTAGTTTTCTCAACATATGAGCCCGAAATGGTTTGAGACATTTAGGTAGAAATTCCTTTTACAAACGGTAACCTTGTCACATTATCTATGCTTGGTGAATTTTGAGGCCAAACTAAATTCAAGCTATTCTCATACATAACACGTCATTATTGAGGAGGATGATTTGCAAGATCAAGCGTTTGACATCAAAAGAGATCTTCAACAAGAAGTGCATTTGTTTGCATCGAAGTACAACTTCAAATTCAAAGTAAATAGATCAAATAAGTTACATATACAATTGTTTGCGTAGATGACAAATGCAAATGGAGTTTGCAGAAATGAAGTACAATCAATAGGATTGTTTTCAAGTTTGTCTCTACTCACGTGAACATACTTTCTATTTTGGTATTCATCGCAAACAAGCTAGGACATGAGTTATTTGAAGACTTGTTCAAAATCTAAACATAGTATACATGCTTGTAAATGTCATTAATGACATATGTAGGGAGTTCGGGATAAATATGAGCTATCAGAAGGTGCGAATGGCTAAGGAATGTGCTTTGGATGATAGTAGGTTTGGGATAAATATTGGAAGAATATATGATTAAAAATGAATTTAAATAAAAATAGAGTTATAAGAATGGAGCTCAAATATGGGTATATATACTCTTGGTATGTACAATAATTTTTTTTCCTCGTTTCTATCCCTATTTGGTACAGATTCTTTACATTTATTTTTCTCAAATTCATTTTGAACTATTTATAATTCATTATTAAATAACTTGCACGTGGATCCCTGAATTTCTTTACTTTTCAACCTTAAATTCTCTAAAAATACTCACTTTTCACAAAATCTATTTCCAAAATATTTCATTGAGTATGCCTTAGTCATAACTACGCTATGGGTTATAGTATTTGATACTATGTGGTTCTAATAATGAACTGAGACGATTGGTAGAGAGAAAATAACTCCCACCGTGTCGAAAGACCCCTGTTATGTCGAGTAGTTCCTATCATGATAAGGCGACTGTCTTTATGCTAGCTCGATCGACGCTACGTTCGCTTGCTTATAGGGTAAGACAACTTTGAGCACGTCAGATGACGCTCATCATATTAGAGTGCTTATTGTTATGCTAGTCTGACTCCCGCCACGTGCGGACCGACCACCATTATCTTGATTACCCGAACAACATTGGAACAGACCAATAACCATTGTAATGGTTGTCATTAAACCCACTACCCGGGTAACTGCTGAACAAATGGAAAAAAAAGTCTGAGAAGCGGGCAGGTCTCATGAGGACACGTGAATGACAACTGCCCGGCGATTACGTAATACCAGACGCCTATAAATACCTCATGGGCGTGTCAAGTAACATGGAGCTTTCTCTTCCGAAAAAAATATTTTCCTCTCTCACTGTTGCTATTCTTTGTAATCCTTTATATAAAAATAATTATTGATTCTCACGTCGGAGGTAAAATGGGGGAGAAAGCCCCGGCCTTTTTTTTGCAAGATCATCGGAGGACAAGAGACAACTTTTTCTCTAAAAAAGACACGGAGTTGCATCAGAACAATTTCTTTGGCACCGTCTATGGAAAACTTCACCGAGCATAAAAGTTATGTCGAGAAAACGAACTAGAAGTGATACGCATGTGGTTGCTAACATTGCGGAGTTGCAGTCTGTCGCCAAGGGTCAAGATCCACAGCCGCAACCTCAATATGTAACACAGAGCCAATTTAACCTTCTGGAGGCCCAGTTAGCCACTGTGATAACTCTCTTGCAAAGTCAGATACCGAGAGTTGCCAATCCATCCCACAATTTACTAGAAGCACCGTCGCAAGACACAAGTGGGTAGCCCCAGGCAAACCATGCAGTTGTCCCACCAGTCATTCAGGAAATAGCTGCCGACCAAGGGTCTCATGAAGTCACACATACGCAGGCCACGCGTCCTATGGCAGACTTGGAGTGCAGGATGGAAGAAATAGTATTCCAGAAGATTGAAAATGCGCTATCAAGGAGGAAGGACAAGCAATGATAGATGGTTTTGGAAGAAGACCCGTTCGTCCCAGAAATCATGGTAGTTCCTCTACCAAAGGGTTTCAAACATCCAATGTTAGAAGCGCATAATGGAGTCACTGATCCACTTGATCATCTGCGCACTTTTGTTGATTTGATAAAAGTGTTTGCAGTCCCAGATGCCGTGATGTGTCGATCCTTTCCCCCGATACTAAGAAAAGAGGCAAGAGATTGGGTAGCCACTCTGGCACTGCGATCTATCAAAATATTTGATGAGCTCTCCAGAAGTTTCGTAGCATATTTCATGAGCAGCAAGAGGAAGAGGAAGAGGGCCATAAGGCCAATGCAAGTTGTTCAAGATAAGACGAGCCATTGCAAGATTATTTGGCTGGGTTCAGTTGGGCAACATTAGGCATAAAGATCTTCAGATGTCAGCGGTAGTCACTACATTGATGAATGGGATGCGAAATCGAGCCTTTAAGATGTCACTCTCGAAAACCCCTCGGGAGTCAATGTATGAATTGCTGAAAAAGGGAGAAAGTATGTAGACACTGAGGAAGCAAAGAGGGTCACGAAAAAACCTTTGAGAAGGACGTGAGCCAGAAACTCACAAGCAAAAATCACATGCGGAGAGAAAATATATTGTTAAGAATAAGTCAAAAAATGAGCATCTAAGCAGAGGGTATGCGCAGGATCGATTGGTCAAATAAAGGCTAGAAGAGGTAAAAGCTTTCACCCCTCTAAACGCTCAACGGGCTAAGGTATTGATGGAAATTCGGGACATGAAGGAGCTCGACTGGCCGAATCCCATGACAGCCTCCGGTAACAAGAGAGACAATAGTAGGTATTATCAGTTCCATAGGGATCATGGGCATGATATGGAGGAATGTATCCACTTGGAGGAAGAGATTGAGTGCTTATTGAAACAGGGGCTTCTGACTAAGTATGTGAAGAATGATCGAGGCAAATAGAAAGTTGATGACCGACCACCACCTAGGACTAGGGATGGCAATCGGGCTCGTCGGCTCGGACTGCCCATGGCTCGGCTCTATTTTTAGGTGTCGGGCAAAGTCCGAGCAGGTCCGTGTAGCTCGTTGGCTCGACAGAGCCGAGCATATATTAATAAAAAAATATTAAAGGCAGCAACACGCTGCCTTTTAAAAATAGGCAGAAGGTTGCTGCCTCTGCTGCCTTTTAATTTAAAAAAAACCAAAATCGAATAAAATTCGAGCTAGCCTAGCTCGGCTGGGCTCAAAAAGGTCCGAGCTGAAAGCTTGGGTCGAGCCTAATTTTTTTACCGAGCTTTTACTTAGCCCAGCTCGAGCCTAGAAAAAAGCTCGGACATTTTACCCGAGCCTAGGATTTTGGCTCACAAGCTGACTCGACTCCGCTCGTTGACATCCCTACCTAGGGCCGGAGTAATAAATGTGATAGTTGGAGGGATTGCAGTAGGCGGAGACTCAAATTCAGCTAGGAAGGGCTATGCCCTCACTGTTAGGGTTTGCTCCATCCAGGAGAAGGCCAGGTTTCACCAAAATATCATTTTCAATGAAGAAGATCTTATTGGTGTGGCAACGTCCCACAACGATACTTTGATGATCGTTGATGATATAGCGAATTTTGACGTAAAAAGGGTGTTGGTCGATGGTGGTAGTGCGGCAAACATCCTCACTTGGGAAGCATTTGTGGGATTGAAATTTTTTCCTAAAAAATTGAAAGTTGTGTCCACTACTCTCCAAGGATTCGAATGAGCCACCGTTATACCAAAGGGAGCTGTAGGACTTTCAGTGACGTTGGGTACATATCTAACAAGAATGGTGATCCTAGCAAACTTCCTTGTTGTTAAGACCCCATGGCATACAATGCAATATGTGGTCTAGCCCTGTTAAATGCCGCTCCTTCCACTTATCACCAAGTTATAAAGTTCCTGACCAGTCGCAACGTTGGGTGTGTGAGAAGCGATCAATAATCTTCGAGAAGGTGCTATGTTGACAGTATAAAAGCAAGAGGATCACCGCCAGTTATGATGGAGGATTTTGAGTCCCCAAGTGGGTGAATTGAGCCACTTGACATGACAGAAAATATTTTGATAAGGGAAGGACGTGAATTCAACATTGGGGTGAACTTGATGCCAAAAGAAAAAGAAGAATTAGTGAAGTGTTTGTCTGACAATTTAGATGTTTCTGCATGGAGCCCATGTGATATTCGAGGAACCAGTCCATGAGTCGCTCAGCACCGCCTTGGTATTTTACGGGGAGCAAATCCAGTAAGGCAAAAAAAGATGAATCTTGCTCTAGAGCGACAAGCCGCAGCAAAGGAAGAAGTTGAAAAGTTGTTGCATGTAGGGTTTGTTAGGGAAGTACAGTACCTCGAATGGTTGGCCAATGTTGTCCTCCTAAAAAAATCGAATGGAAAATAACGCATGTGCATGGATTACACTGGTTTGAACAAAGTATGTCCCAAAGACTTATAGCCGCTGCGCAGGATAGATTATTTGGCGGATGCCACATTAGGTCATGAATGACTAAGTTTTTTGGATGCCTTTTCTGGGTATCACCAGATCTCGATGGCCGAGTCGGACCAGGAGAAAACATCCTTCATAATTGACTCGGGGACGTACTGCTACACAACTATGCCGTTCGGCTTCAAAAATGCTGGAGCGACTTATCAGAGAATGGTGAATAAGATCTCAAATATCTGATTGGGAATGTTATCGAAGCTGATGTTAATGATATGGTCGTCAAAAGTATTAAGGTTGATAATCATGTAGTTGATCTACGGAGAGTGTTCGACATTGCTCAACGGAATAGGCTAAAATTCAATCTTGAGAAGTGTGTTTTTGGAACAACAGGCTGAAAGTTCCTGGGTTTCATGATTTCACAAAGAGGCATCAAAGCAAATTTGGATAAGATTCGAGCTATCTTGGAGATGAAAAACCCTTCAAGCAAGAAGAAAGTCCAATGGCTCACAAGGTGGGTAGTGACATTGAATCGTTTAATGAGTCGAGCAGCTGATACGTGTTACCTCTTCTTCAAGGCAATTGGGGGCTCGAACAACTTCGAATGGACCAAGGAGTGTGAAGAATCCCTCGAATCCTTGAAGTAATCACTCCAGCAGCCCTTGATCTTGACTAGTCCATGTGTAGGGGACGTGTTATTTTTGTATTTGCCCGTTTCAAAGACGCAGTCAGTGCGATTCTTGTGAAAGAGTTTCCAAAGTCACAAAAGCTAGTGTATTATGTAAGCTAAGTGTTTAGAGGTGCAGAAACTAGGTATAGCCTTGCAGAGCGTTAGTATTTGCATTGATTGGGGCCGTCAGAAAGTTAAGGCCGTATTTTCGGTCTCATATAGTACAAGCCATGATCGATCAGCCTGTCAAACAGATTTTGCATCGACCCGAGCGTCTGGTAGGATGTTAAAGTGGGCAATCGAATTAAGTAAATTTGACATCGAGTTCAAACCAAGGACGGCTATTAAGGCGCAATCTTTAGTGGACTTTATCGCAGAGTTTATAGCCCCACTTGATCAGCCCACGGGGCATGAGAAAGTTTGGAAGATCTTTGTGGATGGATTCTCGCATAGTGAAGGATCCAGAGTTGGCATAATTATGATAGGATAAGGGTCCGAAAAACTGGAGTATTCATTGCGTTTAGAGTTTCCGGCAACAAATAATGACGCTGAGTATGAGGTAGTGATTACAGGCCTGAGCTTGGCATCCAGATTTTGGGGGTAACGTCCGTAGAAATTTGAAGTGACTCTCAGTTGATAGTTGGGCAAGTGACAAGGGAATTCAAAGCAAAAGACAGGAAAATGACAGTTTACTTGATGAAAGTGGGGAACTACAAAGGGGATTCACAAGTTTCAAGATAACCAAGGTCCCCCGAAAAGATTACGAAAGAGCAAACCTTTTATCCAAGCTTGCATCCACAAACCCGAAAAATCTACCCAGTACAACGAATGTGCAAGTCATGCGACAGCTAAGTGTACTGCACGTAATCAACGTGGTACACATGGAATATGAGAAAAGTTGGATAGACCTGATAATTGATTATCTCGTGGAGGATAAATTGCCAGAGGATGTCCTTGAAGCCAGAAGGTTGAAAACTCGAGCAGCTTCGTTCACCATAATCGACGAGCAGCTCTACAAGCGAGGTTTTACCATGCCTCACTTAAAATGCTCGGGCCCAACTGAAGCACATGAGGTGTTGTTGGAAATCCATGCAGGAATCTGTGGCAACCATCAGGGAATGGTCGCCCTTGTATTCAAGGCCCTATGACAGGGATACTATTGGCTGACTATGAAGCGGGATGCCAAAATGTTCGTGAGAAAGTGTGATGCATGTCAGTGTCATGAAAATTTGATTCATGTTCCCGCGGAATAGCAGTCTACTATTTTCGGGGTATGCCCTTTCTTTCAGTGGAGAATGGATATCTTAGGGCCTCTACCCATAGCCAAGGGGCAAATGAAGTTCTTGTTAGTGCCCATAAATTATTTCACCAAATGGGTCGAGGCGGAGCCCTTGGCCACCATCATAATGGCCAAGGTGCAAAGTTTCACTTGAAAGATTATAATATGTAGGTTTGGCATACCAAGAGTTTTTATAACTAACAATGGCAAACAATTCGTCAACCACGACTTCAAGGCTTTTTGTGAAACTTATCGCATTAACCACAGACTCACTTCCATCGCTCACCCCTAATCCAATGGGCAAGCAAAAGTAACAAATCGGGCGATATTATGGGATTTAAAGACAAGACTTGAAAAGGAAAAGGGGCTTTGGGCAGACGAATTGCCAAATGTGCTGTGAGCATATCACACCACTCCGCGAGAATCTATAGGAGAAACACTCTTCAAGCTCTTTTTCGAGATGGAAGCCGTCACCTTTGTGGAAATCCTAAACGATACCGATAGGATAAAAGTCAAACATCTTGACGTCACAACTATCAGTGTAGAACTCAACCTACTCGATGGGGTAAGAGAGAAAGCGGTTATAAGGATGGCGCGTACAAGCGAAGGGCTGCTGAATACTTTAATCGAATAGTAAGGCAAAGGACTTTTCAGCTAGGAGATATTGTATTAAGGGAGACAGTAGCAGTAGGGCACCCTCCATCCAAACTTGGGGCCAAATTGGGAAGGATCATACGAGGTGATTCGCAATCTTGGATAAGGAGCTTACATCCTAAAAGACCCGAGAGGAAAGCTACTGGGCAGGCTGTAGAACATCGAGCATCTCAAGAAGTAATAGGTTGACGGGCAGGGAGTTCATACCAAACCTTTTGTAAAATCTAGTTGTTAGGATGGTTTACTAGCTTTTGTAATGTAATAGCAAGTGTTTCATGTAAATATGGTCGCTAGGATTTTCTTATAGTGTCCTTAATGTATTGCCTACTGTAGGCGTATTGTGTTGTAATTATTCGTATTATTTAATGAAAGGCCTAGATGGCGGCAGATGATGAGGGCGCTAGGAAGGGCCAACCTAACTAGGACGTCACTGTGCGCCTATTAAGTTCCCAAATCTAGGTAAATTTATTTATTTATACAGGAGTTGGGTATACAATTGACTAAAGAATGAGTTGCAGAACACCCCTTAAAGTTTCTAAGGAGTTCAAATGAATAGCGGTGAGCAATAAAACCAACAAAATTGGTTGGCACGAAATTGCTCCAAGGTCTGATGGTAAGCTTCCCAACCCGTATAAACGGTTAAGAGGCGAAATTACCAGATCTCGTGCCTTACGAAAGCGTTCAACTAATAGCGGTGAACAATAAAATCAACAAAATGATTACCTCAAAATTGCTCTATGGTCAGATGGTAAGCTTCCAAAACTGAATAAATGGATAGGAGGCAAAATCACCAGATCCCGTGTACTAAGAAGGCATTCAACGAATGTCGGTGAACAGTAAAACCAACAAAATGGGTTAGCTTGAAATCGCTCTACGATTTGATAGTATACTCTTAAAACCAACAAAAATGGGTAAATGGCGAAATTATCAAATCTATGCTCAACAAATCCTAAGGCGTTTAAAGGCAGCAGTAAGCAACGGGATCAAAGATCGATTAGCTCAAAATCGCTCTATGTTCTAGCAATGAGCTTTCAAGTTAAAATTTGCAAAGGTGCAAGATCACTGCAATTAGCACTCTATGCTCCACAATTGCTCAAAAAAGAAAAAAAAGGGGTAAATGACAATGTCAAAAACTGGTAATCTCGAAATGATGAAAATTAATAATAGCAATAATAGTACTGAATGCACGATATATCAATCATAATAAATGCAAAGCATAATATCCTGTCCACATCCTGGACCAAGAAAAAAACCTACTGAATAGTCAAATTGTGACAAGGGATAACGAAAAGCTTAAACAAGTAATAAAATGCTAAGTCATTCTGGGTTCGAACTTTCTCTGCTTCCTCTCCGTGGCACGTTGGTGTCCCTAAATGTTTTAGTCTGCTTAGCCGCTTTTTCTTTATCTGTATGTTGCAATAGAAAACGATCATAGTCCGAGGGATCAATGGATGGATGCTCGACCGTCATCCACTCTTTTGTAAGGGCAACAGAGGTTGCCATTATTTTTGCCTCATAATCGTTCATGTCCTTAACATACTCAGAAGAGGCCTTATAACGATCTACTGCATCGATTTGAGTATGGGCCAAGGAAGAGCGCAAATTGTCAATCTCTCAATCTTGTTCACTGATGCGAGATTCCATCTTTTTCCTCTAAGCCTCTACAACATCAAGAGACTTCTTTAAGGCTAGGTTTTCCTCCATGATATCATCCACCTCCTTATCTTTCTCTTCCTCGAGACCTTTTAATTTAGTAGTTAGGAGGTGACTAGCTTCGACGAGGGAAGTTTGCATTGTTAAGACCTATCAAGCAAATAGTGGAAATGAAGTACGATTGTTACACGAATTCAAAAGTATAAATGTGAATAAAAATGAAGAAATGGAAAAAGGGGGTACCCTTCCGTTGTAGACCACCAGGACCTTCTCTACATCGTTCACCCGATGTCTAGACAGAGCTCTGGCATGATCAGACATAATAAAAGCATTGACCATATCAACTTCTCGCACACCTCGACTAGGAGGAAATCTGAGATCTGGAAGTAGAGAGCCATCGCTCTCAAATTGGAACTTGTCAGGACTCAAGTTTCCCTCTCCGTATCGTACGGTGGGACTCCTCCCGTAAGCTCCTCCAATGGTGGAGGAGACTCATTGCTAGTATTCTTTCCCTTTTTCTTGTTCGTGACTTTTCTCTTCTTGGGTGGGGCATGAGACAACCCCTCATTGCTTGCGGGCTCAGGCTCAGGTAGTGAGCTCAAAACTCTTGCCAAGTCGAAGTCCATACCTGCATACATATAACCAAGAAGTCAAACGCAAGTGCCAGCAATTAAAGGAAAATATAGAATGAAAATCAAGAGCTATAAATAAGGACCTACCAACATGTTGACCAATCCCCACTGTCAACATCTTCCTTACTGTTAAGACTTGAGAGATGAGAGGTGCAAGAGGTGGTATACGGGTTAGTTGTTGGACTTGAGAACTCGAAAGAGGAGTAGGCTCAACATGAATGTTGAAAAGACAAATTTGAGGGATTTTCCAATAACTGTTGAATGGAAATTAACCCTCAGAAGGCTGAACAAAGAAGAATAGAGATTTTCACCCGCTATTGGAATTTCTATACTTCGGAATGCAAAGAGGGACACTGGTAGTGAAATATACGAGCACATTGTATTGGGATAAATTGTGCAACTCGAACACACACCTAACAGTTCAATGGAAGGCACAATCTTTTCACTAAGGCACATGTACAAAAAGTACAGTGCTTTCCTCCATGCATTTGGGTTTATTTGATATGGTGTAAGATGAAATTAGTTGAAAATTGAGACAGAATGGATGAATAGGAAACATCAAACCTCCAGCAAAACAATCCTTATACATGGCAATTTCACGAGGGTCTGACCAGGAAGCTCTTCTTTAGGCTTGGGGGCTCTATATATATAATCATCAATGTGTGTGTACCTATCGAGCAATTGATCTAACTTTGTTGGGGAATTGTAAGAACTAGGTCCCTTTGGAATATCAAGGACTACAACACTACCCGTAGGATCTCGACCGATTTCAAAGTTGAAGGTTGGAGACTTGGAAAAATCAATGTGATTTTTAGAAGGACATGTAATGAAAATTGAAGGGTCTGAAAGGTCAGGAAGACTATCAACAGCATGAGGAGGCCGATCAATCCTGCAACCTCGATTGACCAATCGACTAGGTCTAGTCGATTAACCAGGCGACCGCCCGATCGAGCTGGTCGACTTGGTTGGCCACAGACCAGGTCGACCGATTGGCCAACTGGTCGACCAAACCAGGGGGTGGCCGACAGATGTCGTCGATCCATTGTCCCGCTTCCACCCCCTTTTCGCTCTCATTCTTATATCCATTCTCGCCCCACTCGACGTCTAGGATGATGAATCGGAACGTTCTGGACTAGAAGACGATGAAAATGACAGAATAACTTTATACATCGAAAAGTAATGACGAGCTACTAGAATTCTTAGAAAAAATAAGAGGGGAATAAGGATATTACCTTGGAGATGAATACAGAGAGAAAAAACGCTTAGAATTTATAGAAAGGAGGAAGAAGTAAAACAAAAAAGAGATTATGTTCCCTTTATATAAGAAAATTCTATGGTTCACAAAAGACCTTGGTCCATGAGTCGTCTCACTTATAGATTATCATTAAATTGTAGACCTTTGTATAAATCCAATCCATCGCGATAAAAAAATAATAAATAATAATAATAAATTACGATATAGTCCAATAACGCTACCTCTTGACGTAAAAATCGACAAGAGGTATGGAGGCTAGTGATACTACGTGGTACAAATAATGAACTGAGATGACTGGTAGAGAGAAGATAACTCCTACCATGTTGGAAGACCCCTGCTATGTCGAGTAGCGCCTATCATGATAAGGTGACTGTCGTTATGTCAATTCGATCGACGCTACGTTCGCTTGCTTATATGGTACACACAACTTTTAGCATGTCAGGTGGCGCTCGTCATATTAGAGTGTTTATTGCTTTGCTAGTCTTACTCCTGCCATGTGCGGACCAATCGCCGTTATCCGGATTACCCGAACAACATTGGAACTGGCCAATAACCATTGTAACGGTTGTCATTAAACCCACTACCAGGATAACCCTTGAACAAATGGAAAAAAATCGTCCGAGGAGTGGGTAGGTCTCATGAGGACACGTGGATGACAACTGCCCGACGATTACGTGATGCAGACTGATGATGACACGTGGATGGTAACTGTCCAACGGTTTCGTGATGACAGACACCTATAAATACCCCATGGACGTGTCAGGTAACAAAGATCTTTGTTTTCCAAAAAAAATATTTTCCTCTGTCACCGTTGCTATTTTTTGTAATCCTTTATATAAAAACGATTATTGATTCTCACGCTGGAGGTAAAACGGGGAGGAAGCTCCAACCTCTTTTTTGTAGGATTATCGAAGGACAATAGATAATTTTTTCTCTAAAAAAGACACAGAGTTGCATCAGAATTATTTCAATATTAATATTCAATTTTTATGAACAATTTCAGCACTCCAAAAGTAATGTAGATCACAGTATCACACCCTTTGATTACAACTTATGGCAGGTAAAATTTGGTCTGTTTAATCTATGCTAAACGATTTATTACCTTAATCAACACAACAATTAATTTCTTGACAAATCAATTCAGATAATCAGGATTTCACGAACATCCATTCGGCAAACAGAGCATTAGCATAGGGAACCACGACAAAACTTATTTCAGGGCTTTATGCTTCTGTAAAAAGCAGAATTCCGGCCACAGTAGAACAGTATGCATTCCCTCATTGTGATTTGCTAAACCCACATTCAGGTTTTCTCTTTCTCTATCTAACACACACAAGCAAACATGCACGAACAAGATTGTTGGCGTTGTAATTCAATCTGTTGTTCATTCTCGAGAGAAGATTAACAAGTTCCCTTTTGTTTTTTGTTTTTGTTTTTTTTTGGCTTTTGTGTTTTCTGTAAAGGATCATTTCTGTGGAGAGGTAAAAAAAAAAAAAAAAAAAAAAAAAAAATTCCAAAAAATATTTAACTATTCATTTGTCCACCGTTAAAAAAAAAAAAAAAAAAAAAAAAAAAATCTCAACTCAACGCCCATTTTCAAATTTAGTGTAGTGTTTTTTCCGATATTTTTGGAGTGCCTTTTTATTTATTTATTTTTTTTGTTTGATGCATATATTTATTTGTCTGCTTTAATTTTTAAAGAAAATCAAGGTTTTTGCTGAAGAAAAGGAAAATTTGCACGGTTCTCTAGAGACGCTGGAAAGTTGTAAATTCGTGTAGTCTTGCATTTGATTTTCAGCAATGAAAAAGAAAGTTAACAAAAAGATCATAAACAAGGAAGAAATAGCTGAAGACTGGTGTTTCGCATGCAAAGATGGAGGAGCGCTCCGTGTATGCGACTATAAGTGAGTTTATCTGCTAAGAGCTGGGGTCCTTTCCTTCATTCTTCGGTTTAGACAGATTTTCCCACTTTCGAGACACTTGTTTCTTTTGTTGGTCGATGATATGATTTCGATGAATGACGTCTTTTATACTTTTCTATCCTTGTTTCTTGGGTGCATTAGAATTATACTTTTCTATCCTTGTTTCTTGGGTGCATTAGAATTTCATTTTTATTCTAGTTTATTGGTTTAGTAGGGATTCTGATGATTGTGGACCTTTCGAATTGGGTTCTTTTCATGGTATCCCGTAGTTAACTAGTCTTTCATGACTTTGACTGTAAATGGTAGTGATAGAGGGGGACAAATTATCTAACTGAAAGCTTGGTGGGTTGAACTTTATAGGCTGATTTTTTTACACGGTCATTTTTCATGATCAAAATGAAAAAGAATCTGCAACTAGAACTTTTGAAAAGCCTTCTTTTGTACTAATCAATTTAGCCTTTAGGAACGCCCTTAACACTCCCTTCCTCTTTCCCTTCTTGCTAGGGACCTTGTCGCATTATCTGCTTATGACCATTGAAACTCTATGGGACGTTCCGAGTAAATGTAAATCGTGAAGGGGCATGGAAGGAAAAAAATTAGTGTATGGGGATGGGGGGAGGAAGTAGTAGAGGGAAAATGGAGGAGGGAGTGGTGGTAATAGGGAGGCTTGGGATGGGATAGGAGGAGGACGAAGACGAGGAGAATGAGGTCAAGTTAATTTAGATTATTTTCCTAACTATTGTTTATTGGAGTATTTGGAGGAATGCGAATCACGACGAATTTTAGGATTTTTTGTTGTGTGTGTATTTGTGATGGCAGTGGTGGTGAGTGATAGGGCCAGGGTTGGGACAAAATGCGGAAGAGATGATCGATAAGGGCTTGCTATGCTTGAAGGAGCCATTAATTAATTGTTCAGTTCAGCATTATGTTCTTCCTTTATAATTCGAACTTTGTGCTATTGTAAAATCATAAGATATTTTGGGTGGTTTGGGATTGTGCTTTTTGCGGAAGAGCTTTTTATGGAAGTCATCTTGGACCAACTTCCTCTTCTAGCTCTTCTAGTAAAATAAAACACTTTCATTTTTTTTTTTAAGAAAATCATCAAATCAAAATAGGTCAAAAGACGGTTTTTATTCTCAAAAATCACATCTTGACCTTTCAAAATCCATGTCAAATAGGGCATATATGCGGGGAGATGGTGGAAATTGCAGGAGTGGTGGAACGAAGAACACAAGAGGAAGAAAACAAGGGAATTGTTTTGGGATTTTGACAAAGAAGGCCAATTTATGTGATTTATAAATAAAGCTCTTTTCCTTTTTTGTCATCAACTCGATCCTTCTTAAATAATTTTTAGAACTTACTTTATATGGATAAGAGCTCTAGTGAATAATCTCATTAATTAAATATTTGCTTTAGATGAATTGTATTATTAAATATTATTACTAGATTTTCTTGTGAAAAAATTATAGTGATATACAAATAAAGAAAAACAATTATTAATTTTACTTTGATCGGCGTGAAATTGCCCTGTGTTACCATAATTTAATGAATGAATGAGGCCATGGCTTCAATAATGTTAGTTTTGCCCTAAAAGTAATTTTTTTTTTTGGCCAATCATGGCAGCTCACATGGCAAGTCCAAAATGTGATATACACATGCATATACCCACGTAATGATTGGATTTGCACTTGCATATACATTCTATGTATACAAGGCAAGTTTAAATTTCATTTATTACTTGATTCGCTTCCATTGCTGAAGGAAGAATTTGACAGAACTTCAACTTGTAGCATTAAAAGATGTATTAGATGGTTTCATAGAAAAGAGATTTTTTTTGTTGTTGCAAAATGTTCTTCAGATCTTTGTCTTTAAAGTGAGTTTATGTTTATCTCTACGCCTATTCGAATAAGTGCCTCACATTTATGTATGTAGTTAGATTATTTTGATAATTTTATTGTCTCTCACGCATTTCCTTTTTGTTTTGGTTGACTATTGTAGTGGAAAAATTATGATGGATTCACCCTATTATGACTTCCAGGAACTTGAGTGAGAGATCAATATTGAGACATATGGCAGTATTTACTCTTATAGAAGCTATAACTAAAACATAACCTGTTCCATGATGAAGTGTTAGTAACAGTCATACATTTCGTTTTTGTGGATAGAGGAGCAGCACTGAAGCCATTTTTCCGTGCAATTCATGTTAGAAACTCTGTCCAAATTTTATAGCTTCAGCTTTAGAAGAGGAGCGGCTATAATTTTGGACTAGTAATTTAAAATCTAAACGACCCTATTCTAAGTTTGTTGGGTATTAAGTAAAACCTGTATAGAATATAAGAGTATCCTTTCTGTAACAACTGTTTTGAGTTTTGAAACTCCAAACCTTCTATTATCATTTATTTCATTTTACAAGTATCATATTTGCTAACATGTAGCTTGCAAAAAATCTTACTGTAAATAGTTTGATCATTTGACCATTAAGATTCATCCATGACATAATTTGAATGGAAGGAAAACTCAATTTGGTTTTTGTAGGAAATCGTGTATAAAGGAAAGATATCAAAATCTTTCCATTGATGGTGTTGATTGATAATTTTAGGGCTGTAAATATTCTCTAATATTAGGAGATAGTTTTTTCCTTTTTTGGCTCCATTATTGTATTATAAATAGATGTAAATTGTGAGGTTTAATTATCAAGAAATAAAGAAAAAATTTCTCGTTCCCGTTTGTTCATGGTATCAGAGCCTATGATCGTCTAAACCTAGGAACCTCTGGCAGAATTTCTCGTCAACAGTACGGGGTCAGTCATGTCCGACACCTCCCAAACCGAGACAGAGGTTAACTCCACAATTGGTTCACATGGTTTTGAGAACTCATCTTTTCAGTTCACAGTCAAAAAATTGAATGGAAAAAATTTTTGTGATTGGCCCAATCAATTAAGTTGGTGATTGATGGTAAGGGAAAACTAAGCTACCTTACCGATGAAACGAAGAAACCAACGGATCCTGCACTCCTGCAACGACGGAAGTCAGAGAACTCGATGGTCCCCGCTTGGTTAGTGAACTCTATGAAACCAGCAATAGAAAAGACTAATCTCTTCCTTCCTACTACAAAAGAGGTATGGGATGCGGTGGAGAAATGTACTCGGACTCAGAAAATCCATCACACATCTTTGAAATCAAGACTCGATTGTGGCAAACGAAGCAGGGAAACAGAGATGTTACCGATTATTTCATGGAGATGACCTCACTTTGGCAGGAACTTGACCTCAGCAGTGAGAAGAATGGAGCTGTGGAGACGACAGTGTGCGGTATAGGAAGAAGATTGAGAATGAAAGAGTGTATGAATTCTTGGCTGGATTAAATCGGGATCTAGACGACGTTAGAGGCCGAATTCTTGGCCGGCCACCACTGTCATCCCTTCGCGAGGTCTTCTCTGAGGTCCGACGAAAAGAGGCACGACGTCTGGTGATGTTGGTGGAAGAATCTCATGGACCCAGTGAAGTGTTGGCCCTTGTGATGAAAGGAAAAGGGCCGGATATTAGTGGAGTATATGGGCCAACGTTTAAAAGCCCAGTTACTAGAAAAGGGCCGGATATTAGTGGAGCATATGGGCCAACATTTAAAAGCCCAGTTACTGGAAAAAGTCAGATTATTGGATGGACCATTGGGAAAGATATTGGGCTAGAAAATAATGGGCTTGAAGTCCTGGGTATGTCGTCAAAGTCAGTGATTGTGTGAGCATTGCCGTAAGCCTGGATACAAAGAAAATACATGTTGGGACCTACATGGAAAACCCTCTGGTTGGAAGCCAAGGCAAGGTACTAGGAGTGGGGGATATCAAATCGAGACAAAGATCAATCCTACTCAAAATGGTGCATTCAACCCCGAATAATTGGAGCAACTCTACCAAATTTTCTCTAGTCTTCAAACTTCCGGTCAGTCTATTCCTTGTGATCATTCAAGCTCCCTAGCCTATAAAGGTAATTTTTTTAAAGCCTTGTGTACCACTTCAAAATAAAAAACTCCCTGGATAATTGACTTCGGAGCATCCGATCATATGACAGACGCTTATCATCTTTTCTCTTTATATTCAACTTCTGCTGGCAATGTTAAAGTCAAAATTGCAGATGGCTCCCTCTCATCTGTTGCAGGAAAAGGGACTGTCAGGATCTCTAACTGTATTACACTTGAATCTGTCTTACATGTTCCAAATTTATCGTGTAATCTATTGTCAATTAGCAAATTAACTAGAGACTCCAAGTACTCTGCTAAATTTCTTCCATCTCACTGTATTTTTCAGGACCTTTCGTTGGGGAAGACGATTGACAGTGCTAAATAGCTTGAGGGGCTGTACTACTTTGAGGAGGTTGATGTGAGTAAACAACACAAAATTGCTATTTGTGAGTCAGCATCTATTTCTAGGGATAGTGAAATTCTGTTATGGTATTATACACTAGGCCACCCGAATTTTCAATACTTGAAATGTGTAATCCCTTCAATATTTTCGAATAAAATTTTAGCTGATTTTCAGTGTGAAAATTGCGAACTTGCGAAACATCAGCGTACTTCTTATCCAAACTCTACATACAAACCTACTAAACCCTTTACTACGATCCACAGTGACTTATGGGGACCTTCTCGAACCCCGAATCGAACAAACACTAGATGGTTTATCATGTTCATAGATGACCATACCAGAGTCTGTTGGGTCTATCTACTAAAAGAAAAATCTGAAGTTCGCTCTGTTTTTATTAACTTTCACTCAATGATTCATACACAATTTCAAACATAAATCCAAATACTCCACACCGATAACGGCACAGAATACATCAATATCTACAAAACCATTGGATAGTCCACCAAACTTCTTGTGTTAGTACTCCTCCAAAAAGGGGGTCCCTGAGCGGAAAAATAGACACCTTCTTGAAGTTGCACGTGCATTAATGTTCACCACAAACATGCTAAAATATTTTGGGGCAACGCCATTTTAACAGCTATGTATCTAATCAATAGAATGCCCAGTCGTAGCCTATCCTTCGGCTCACCTCTTCAAAAATTCCAGAAATACTTCCCTACCTCTCGTCTTAACGCTAACCTACCTCTGAAAGTGTTTGGATGTATGGCATTTACCCATATTCATTCTCATCAAAACAAACTAGACCCTCATGCACTTAAATGTATGTTTATTGGATACTCACCTACTCACAAGGGATATAAATGCTATGATACATCAACAAAAAGGGTCTTTGTGAGCCACGATGTCACCTTCTTTGAAAAAACCCCCTACTTCAAAAAACCTTCTCTTCAGGGGGAGAATCTCAGTGAAGAGAAGTCCTTTGAAGAATTTTTCAACTTCGACCTCTATCCTCCCGAACTAACCTATTATGAACAGGCCACGTTTAATATGTCATCTACAGAACAAAACTTGAATACAGGGGGAGATGCAGAATAAAAGACAAGGAAATACTAGTTTACTCAAGGAGGCCGAACTTAAAGTATAAGGGAAACCTCACACCTGATGCACCAAAAGAGTCAGAACCGATGATAGGGCCTAATGAAATCCTATCTGATAAATCTGGATCTCCAAGTGATGATCTACTTATTGCTCTTAGAAAACAAACTCGGTCATGTACTCTCCATCCTATCTCTAAATATGTGTCTTATCAAACTCTATCTACAAAATTTTGTACTTTTGTTGCTAACCTTGACAATACAGAAATACCAAGGAACATTCTGGAGGCCGTGGAAGTTCCCAAATGGAGAGAAGCAATAATGGAGGAAATGCGGGCCTTAGAAAAAAATGAAACTTGGGATATGGTGAAGTGACCAAAGGGCAAGAAACCGATTGGCTGTAAATGGGTCTTTAATGTAAAGTATAAAGTTGATGGGTCAATAAAATGATGTAAAGCTCAATTGGTAGCCAAGGGATACACACAGACATATGGTATCGACTACTTGGAGACATTTGCACCGGTAGCAAAACTGAATACAATTCGAGTTCTCCTATCTCTAGTAGTTAACTTGGATTGGCCTCTCCAGTAGCTGGATATTAAGAACGCTTTTTTGAACGAAAAATTGGAAGAGGAAGTATTCATGACAATACCACTAGGGTTCAGTAATGGGGATGGAAAAGATTGGGTATGCAAACTCAATAAATCATTATAAGGCCTCAAGCAATCACCAAGAGCCTGGTTTGACCGGTTTGCAAAAGTGTTGCTGAATCAAGGATATCAGCAAGGGTAGTCAGATCATACCATGTTTTTCCAACAATCTGAAGTTGGAAAAATAACAATCCTAATTGTGTATGTAGACGATATAATCCTCACTGGAGATAATATAACTGAGATGAACAAACTAAAAAAAAGCCTAGCCTCCGAATTTGAAGTAAATGACCTGGGACATATGCGGTACTTTTTAGGTATGGAGGTAGCAAGATCAAAGAAGGGTATCAGCGTATCACAACGAAAATACATCCTTGACTTGCTGACTGAAATTGGCATGTTTGGTTGCAAACCAAGCAATACACCTATAGATTGTGGAAAAAGAACGGACGAGACAGGAACCAGTAGAAAAAGATAGATACCAATGATTGGTTGGAAAGTTAATTTACCCATCACACACCAGATCGGACATTGCTTTTGCAGTTAGCGTTGTGAGTCAACACATGCATTCGCCAAGGAAAGTTGACCTAGAAGCAGCATACAAAATTCTCAAGTATCTAAAAGGCTCCGTTGGAAAGGGATTATTCTTCAAGAAGTGTGAAAAAAAGGAAGTAGAAATATTTACAGAGGTTGATTGGGCTGGATCTATAGAAGACAGAAGATCAATGTCAGGTTATTGTGCCTATGTATGGGAAAATTTGGTAACTTGGAGAAGTAAAACACAGAATTTAGTGGTAAAAAACAGTGCCAAAGCAGAATTCAGAGTAGCTGCATAAGGGATATGTGAAGGACTATGGTTGAAGAAACTTTTGGAGGAATCGAAGGTTGGAATGAAATTACCAATAAAACTCTATTGTGATAATAAAGCAGCCATCAACATTTCACTCAACCCAGTTTAGCATGATAGAACGAAGCACGTGGAAATTGATAGACATTTTATCAAAGAAAAGGTTGAAGAAGGGGTCATTTGTATGGTATATGTCCCTAAAAGGGAACAAAGGGCGGATATTCTCACCAAAGGGTTGTCTCAACGAGTTTTTAACAATTTCATCAGCAAGTTAGATATGATCAATATCTACGATCCAACTTGAGGGGAGTGTACGAAATCGTGTATAAAGGAAAGATATCAAAATCTTTCCTTTGTTGGTGTTGATTGATAATTTTAGGGCTGTAAATACTCTTTAATATTAGGAGATAGTTTTTTCCTTTTTTGGCTCCATTATTGTAGTATAAATAGATGTAAATTGTGAGGTTTAATTATCAAGAAATAAAAAAAAAATTTCTTGTTTCCGTTTGTTCAGTTTTTCCTAAGGTCTAGTAGAATAGCAGAATGTTATCAAATGTGCATTAGATTCCACGAGTTAAGGCATATAATGAAATATTACCTGCATTGTTTCCATGCATAAAGAAAAATTGAAGTAAATTTTTTGGATCTCAAGCTCCAAACTGTTTTATAAACTAAGAGATCATTCTATGAAAAAATGGTTAATGGTAAATGTACATCGAAATCATATTCTATTTTGCCAGGAGACACGTACTAATAGGTATATCAATATTATTAAATCCATTGATAGAAAATAAAAATGAATTTATTGATGATTTTTATTAATATGGAAAAATCCTACTAGAGGAAAAAAGAAAATTCTATGAAACAAATATCAATATTATTAAAACCTATGATGGAGTAGGTTGAATGTCTGATGATGTAGTCATTTTCTTCTCTCTATTAATCTTGCACCAATTTCGACCATAAATATTTCGTCGTTTTGCCTTAGTTATAGATGGGCTTACATGAAATATTCACGATAAGGTCCCTTTCTATAGTTAATCGCTGTTGATACAGTTTTAGTTGATGAGACTAAAAAGGGTTAGAATCGTAGATTTGAATTTTGGAGGGGTATTTTAGAATCTGAAGTTTTTAGGTTGAACAGAGGAGTTAAAGATGATATGATGATAGGACTAAAGCAATTAAGATGAAGTGGAGTGGTGCTGCAATAGCTCAGCTTGTTAAGAACTCCATATACTTTATGGTACTGAGTATTGAGCTATCAAAGGACAAAAAGCCTATATGATGAATGAAGAAATGAAGATGCTAAGATGTATTGCCATTCTAAAATGAATAAAAAATAGAAATGACATATACAACAATGAGTGGGGATGGCGATTGAAGATAAATTAAGAGAATGATGACTTAGCTGGTTGGGGTTGAAGAGGTTCGTTGTAGCATGTCCGAAGAGGGAAATCTAGACTAAAAACAACATGGTAAACGCACTGGCGAAAACTAATTCATCGAGTAGAGGCCAAATTTAATGGGACTAATGGTATTTATTAATAGGGTCTAAATGTATACAATTGTTATTGTATTTTTTTATATTTGCTTTTGTTTCTGCAAGTTTGGTTGTTTGAGACAATGGCTATGCACTAAATGTCTTCCTCTACAAGTATAAATTGCTGGGTTAATGTGGAATGATGGTTTTCTTGCGTTTGCCTTGTGCTAATATACTCAAATTACCATTGATTTGCCCCTTCTTCTGGCAAACGTATCCCAAGTAGGATGATGATTATCGTTTACTTATACCAAAAATACTCTTTATTAACCATTACTGTTTTCAGGCAATGTCTAAAGTCATATCATCCATCTTGTGTGGGAAAGGACGATTCATTTTTGGAGAGCGAAAGCCAGTGGAATTGTGGTAAGTCACCCGCAACCCCGTGGCAGCTGGTGATGTGATTTGATGGATGCATATTAGATCAGGTTGCATGACCCTGTGAGCCTCTCATTAGCTAAAAATTTTATGGCTTTAAGGTGTAAGGGAATAATTGGAAAAGCCAAAGAAAGAAAAGGAGTAGAACAAGGTGACAGAGAAGGGGGGAACTCTTATGTTATTCCCCCTAAGAGTTCAGTGATGTGCAAAAACAAAACTTCTCCCTAGTTTTGGTGAATGCGTGAGAAAACTAGCTAGCAAATATGTAACCAAAAATTATTTGCTCATGGAATGCACAGTGTGAGGTTGCATCTATCTCTTAGTCTGAAGTCTAGCCTCTATGTTCTTACCTCAACATTCCCTGCCACATGCTACGATTGAAAAGTTCTATGCTTGCAAACAAACACATGACAATTGACTTATCCATTTTTAGTGGTTTCCTGTCAAAAAGGATTGATTGCGTCATTTGTTACTTTCAATAACTTCACGTTTAATTTAATATACTTAGACTATAATATCATCTCATATACTTTCTTGTGTGCTTTATTCTTATTGAATATGTTGGATATAATGGGATGTGAACTTGTATTATTCATTTTCAGATTGGCATACTTGCGCTCTCTGCCATTTTAGACCTTCAGAACATCATTGTTTTACTTGCACCAGTGCATTGTGCCGTCACTGCTGTCGTGCTTCAGAGTTTGTACAAGTTAAAGGCAAAGACGGATTCTGCTACAGTTGTCTAAAGCTTGTGATCCTGATTGAAGAAGACATGGATTACGATTCTGATGGGGTACGATCACATGAACTATAATTCATGATATGGAGTAAAGTTCTGGTCTTTAATTATTTTTTTTAGACTCGGGGGGAACAAGTGATGGTGCTAGCCCTGTCTATCCTGTCTTTGTGAAGCCTAAAAATTCACAACGGGGCTGTGTGCATCTAGAAAGCTTTGTTGAACGTGGGATTCTAATATATCAACTCAGGTTACAACATTATGCCCTTTACTTTGGCACAAGTGCCTGGTCAGCCTGCGAAATAAGTGCACGATGTGGTGTCTACGAATAAACTACTATCTTGTATTAACAGCAATACGTGTCAAGTGATAGGCTGTTTCAGCTTCTTCTTTTATTCACAGTTTTGCACGATGAGAAACATTTTTTGGAAACTCAACCAATTGAAGTTTTATTCCATATATGTACAAGATTGCGTAGGACTAAAGTCTGCTAGTATGCACTGTTATTTGGTATACAATATACAGAATAGCTCTAAAATTCAATGAAGTGACAGATAGCAAGTAGTTCTGGTTCTCTAGTTTTTGATGTATTAAATCCCATTTCTATATCCTGAACCTTATAGCAAAATATGAATGCAATTATATCAGATCATACTCAAATACTTCTATAAAAAATTGTGAAAGGTCGATATAATATAGCATAACAATTTTTCTTTGATCTTTCATCCACACTTTTTCTGTACAAAATCATAGTTCCACGTCTTTCTATTTCCTGTTGCCAAGTTGTGTGCATCTATCTGTGAAAATTTGATACAAGAAGAAATAAAAATGACTCTTGCAAAGTCACATTTGGGGCTTCGGCACTTTGGGACCTTCACACGTCTTGGACAGCTGTCGAACCATTCACTTCAATTCCATACTGCCC